TAAAGACAAGTACCTGATGCATCTTCTAAGGAACTACTCAACACCCAGCAACATCAGAAATCAGGGTAATTTCTTCAAATACCGTTGCCCTTGACCCGCTGTCTCCATGGGCATGAATGAACCTTTTCACACAAAGGACACGAGGGCTGTATGGAATTCTGATTCATGTCAGCTGGTGGTACAAGGGATACCTAAATGCAGTATGGAAAACTAAGGACGTGAGAAGGAGAGATTGAAAGCAAGGATGATCGAGTCCTCCTTCAGGCAAAGCAAAAGGACAATAGTTGAAGCAGCGATTTCCTTTGATGAGATGGTTCAACTCAAGTTTTTACAGCTCTCTCATGTCAGGATCTTTTTGGTTGAAAATCAGAGCCACCCAAATCAACTAATAAGCTAAAGCAAAAACTAAATTGATTGGCTCATGTGACTTCAATGCCTGCCCCAAGAGTGTGAGGCTAGATGCTCGATGTCATCAGACTTTGTACCATGTTATCTTCCGATCCCTTGTACCTCTTTGCTTCTGTATTGGCTCAATGGGTGGCAAAGATGGCCCTTAACAACTCAGGCAGAAAAAAATATCCTCCTCAAGAGCTAGCTATGGAAAAAGGCCTAGAGATACCTCTCATGGGTCCAACTTTGGTCACATGTTCTGTCCTGAACCAATGCTGCAGTCAGAGGGATGGAAAATGCAGGTTGGCCAGGTGCAGATCATGTGCACACCCCCAGAGCAAAGGCATGAGGACCCCATAGGCTGGGAGGAAGGGGTGCTTTCCCACTGGTCACCAGCTATAGCTGGAGGAAGAGGGAACAGGTTCCGGGCATCCAAAACCTGACAGCGTCAGCTCTGTGGTGATGATGAGATGTCTGGAGCTTTCTCTAGCACCACTGAGCTTTCTCCTGGTGGTCACTTGTTGCCCAGTACTCCTTCTGTATCTTCTCCTGGCTCCTGGTGGTATCTTCAACATTCCTAAGGCTGAAGTTCATTCTGAAGGTGACTCACCCCACATACAGACACAATCTCCCCCTTTCACTCCCTAAAGCACTCTTAATCTAAGGTGTTGTACATAATCCCCTTTTACCAAACTTTTGGAGTTAAGATGGATTTGGAATTATAACAGCATAGGAAGCCACAGAAACTCAGATACCAGGTATCACTGACTGTCCATCCTGTGAACCTCCTGATATCTTGATGCTGGATTTGGCCTCCTCCCATCTCTTCTCCCATCTCTGATATCATCCTCTCTCAAGGCCCTCACCACATGTCTCTTATTAGGTACAAGGTAAAAATCAGTATTACACACAATAAAAATGTGGAATAATTTAGCTGTCTTTAACTTTCTGTTCCAGACTATATTCTGGGCTTTGCCTTTATAACTGAAAAATCTGCTAAAAGTATTTTCCTATGGACTGGGGCTGTAACTTGGTGGCAGAGCACTTGCCTAGCATGCATGAGGCACTGGGTTTGACCCTCAGCACCACATAAAAAATAAATTAATTAATAAATACAGGTAGCATTTCCATCTACAACAAAAAATATTTTTTAAAAAACTATTTTTCTAAGCCACAGTTAGCCACCATTTCTTTCCTAAGTTAAAATTGGCACCTTTGAAGTAAATCAAATCCATAAAGAAATACCATTCCATACCCAATAGGATGGCTATAACTTGAGAAGAAAAAAATAAAAACAAGTCTTGACAAAGGATATGGAGAAACTGGAACACACATGCATTGCTGGAGGGAGTGTAAAGTGGTACAGTCACTGTGGAAAACAGAAGTTGAGATATAGAACTACCACATGACCAGCAATTCCACTCCTGGGTATATATTTCAAAGAATTGAAAACAGGGGCTCTAACAGATATTTATACGCCAGCGCTCACTGCAGCATCATTCACAGTAACCACCCAAGGGCCCATTAGTAGTTGAATGGATAAACGAGATACATATGTGCACATAGCAGAATAATATTTAGCCACAAAAGGAGCGAACCTTTTACATATGCAACAACATGAATGGACCTTGAAAACATGCTTAGTGAAATACGCCAATCATAGAAGAATGAATATATATGATACCACTTATACAAAGCACTGAGAATAGTCAAATTCATAGACACAGAAAAAGAAGTTTCTAGAGATTGAGGGTAAAGAGGAAGAGTTATTGTTTAATAGAGGGTTTTTTCTTAGCAATAATAAAAGGTTTTAGGTCTAGATAGTGGTGATAGTCACACAGTGTTGTGAATGTATTTCATGTATTTGATGCCATTGAATTGTTTGCTTACAACTAATGAAAATGTAATGTTTTATATATTTATTTAACATTAACTAATTAATCAATTGGAAGCTACTACATGACCAGATTCTCCATTTTTTCTTTTGTTTCTATAGAAAAAAAACTATAAATGGGAGTATATCTCCTGAAATGTTGTAACCTGAATATAAGTCCCTCAGTCTGTAGTCATGCAATTATTCATTGCACAAGAGTTTATTGGGCACCTACTGTGTGTAAAACACATGCCAGCTTGAAGATGGGAAGAGAAGGGTAGAGAGGTGAGTAAGTTCTAGATTATGCTCTGAAGGTAGGGTCGCCAGATTGAGCAAATAAAAAATATAGAATATGTTACCCCATGCAAATCTTTGGGATGTACCTTTACTAAACGTTATTTATTGTTTATCTGAAATTCAAATCTGGATGTCCTGCAACCCTGATAGAGGGAATTTATTGTCCAGTTAGGGAGATAAGGGTTGTTCTGAAATCACCAAAATGCAAGGTATAATGAACCAAGCATCAAAAGATCAAGAGTGATGAGAATTTTGTAGCCAAGATTATTATATTTAATTCTGAATGGTCCACTCTGTTGGCAGTGTGCAAACATATGTGAAGTTCATAAGTGGAGAAAACGGGCTGTTTTTTTAAATATATTATGCTTATATTTTTTAATATCTTTATTTTATTTATTTATTTCTCTATTTTTATGTGGTGCTGAGGATGGAACTCAGGGCCTCACACGTGCTAGGCGAGTGCTCTACTGCTGTGCCACAGCCACAGCCACAGCCACAGCCCCTCCTTCAACCCTTTTTGACAAACATGTTTCTCTTTTACTTCCTCAACATTATTGCTTCACATCCACTCAACACATATTTGAAGATATGCTCTGTAAGCATTGCTCTGGCACTGAGGACAGAGTAGTGAACCCAATGTTGTCTCTCCCTTTGTGGGGTTCAGAGGTAAGAGAGGGAGACAATGACAACAGAAAAAAAATGAGAGAATAAAATGCAGACAGTGATGAAAACTAGACAGAGTGACTGCAGGGCTTTGAGGTTTGAGGCATGGGCACCCTAAAGAGTGCTTCAGGCAGAGGCCTGCTGGGTACAGTTCTCAAGAAAGAGCACTGTAAGTAAATCACACTGCATGACCTTTCTGTTCCCACCTCAAGTTTGAGGTGGGAACAGAAAGGTCATGCAGTGTGCTTCCATATAACACATTTTCTTTAAACAACTGCTTATCCTCCTATGTCTCTTTTGCACATCCTTTAATTGAAGGGAATTTGAGAAATAGTTCAATGATGGGCAGCACAAGAAAGAAAAGAAATCGAGGCATCTCAATAAGACACAAACTATTTGACTACATGACTTCTAGGGTCCATTCCAAACCCAGTTTTCTAAGGCATTTTTCCCCAAACAAACAAACAAAAATGAGAGCTAACATGTAAGCCACTTACACTGTGTGATGTCAACTACCAGCATTTTCTTAATTCAGTCCTCTAACAGAGGTCAATTCTCTTATCATCCTCATTTTCTAGATACAGGCACTGAGGCTCGGAGAGGTGAGCACTATGCTCACTTAACTACTAATGCTTAGGTGTTACTCTGCTCCACGACTTGCTTCTACTTTTAAACACATTAGAATCCAGCATGAAATAACTGACCTGCCAGGAAACATCCCAAAGAAGTTAAAGAGGGTCCTAATCTTGTCTAAAGAGAACCATTCTCCATCCTCCTCTCAGATGGAGGTTCTTTTAGTGCCCTACATTCCACCAGTTCCCAGGAACAGATCTCACAAAGCTATTCCACCAGTCTGATGGGAATTGCCTCCCTGATGTGTAAATTCAGTACCCTGTTGTTTATTTCTCTTTATAGCATCCATTGCCATTTTGAATTATATAATTCTCTTTGTGATCCTTGATGATCTGCCTTCCTAACTAGACTAAAAGTTACATCAGGACACGGAAGTGGTGAGCACTTAATTTTTTCTTTTCGGTACTAGGGATTAAACCCAGGGCCCTGTTGCATGCTAGGCAAATGCTCTACCACTGAGCTACATTCCCAATCCAATTTTAAAATAAATCTATAAATGAAGACCTGTGAGATCTTATGCATTTGGATGTAACTAGTTAGAGTTGGCAGAATGCTTTCCATTATCTCTTTTGCATGGCTTGTGTTTTGTGAGGTAGATAGTACTAATCCTACCACAAGTCAAGCCCGAACAATGACATGAGACAGTGTGTGAACTGGAAAAGCCTCCAGTTTGAGAATGTATAATAACAGGGTCAAGTTCTAGCGCTGCCACTTACAATATGTAGCCTTGGGGAAAACACTGGAAGCGCAGTGTCCTCGTTTGTTCAGCAAACATCCATTGCACATCCTGTGCTACTCTTCTCTCTGCGATAGAGCAGTGAGCAAGAACAAAACCTCTGCCTCCTGGACTTTACATTCTAGAGTGGATGGCAGGAATATCACAAAATGTACATCAAGTGTAAAAGGTAAATGGTGGTGAGTTTAAGGACTCTGGGGATGAAAGAAGGAGGGTAGGAGTGTGCATTCTGAGGCAGAGGGAGGGTTGCAGAGTTAGCTAAGGACTCCCTCAGGTGGCATCTGTAAAATGGGAACACTATTTTTCAGGTCTGGTGGAGATTTAGTAAGAAAAGGCATGGATTGGTACACACACACACACACACACACACACACACTTCCATTCAGAATGGACCTAAGAGACTCCTACCCAATGATGCCTCTTGCAGCCCAACGCACGAGGCGACGTGGGTCCCGGAGGATCGGTAAAGACTGTGGAATGATGCCCGGAACGATAGATTGATCCGTGCGGAAAATTTGCCTGGGCGGAACGTTAATCCATAGGGAACCCTTGCAGGTTGGGAACATTAGCCGGGAGGTACTGTCACCCTAGCAACGACACGCGCCGGGCGGATGCAGGCTGCGGAAAGCGGGCCGCGGCTCGAAGCAAGGGCGGGACTTACGGCGGAAGTGGCCTCTTTACCACTAGTGCCGCGGAAGATGCTGCGTTCGGTGTGGCTGTGGCTGGGTCTGGGCCTGTGCAGCCTCTTGCTGGGGCAGGCGAAGGCCCCAAGCCCAGTGGAGCCGTCGGAGCGGAGCCGGCCGTATGCAGTGCTGCGCGGACAGAACCTAGGTGAGCCGCCGCGGGCGACAAGCGGTGGGTCGCACTTCCGCTTCTGCAGCTTCCGTCCACAGGAACCTGCCACACAGGGTGGGAGATGTGTAAGGGCACCGGGGCCGGTGGGGACTCTCAGGAGCCTCGAGACCCTGTCTCCGAAGGCCTGATGCTCAGCACAAGGCCCGGTAACTTGTTATTTTCCCGGAAAGTGCTGGTTGTGCCTAAATGAACCGGAATCGACAACAGCCTGCGTCCCAGCCTGAGCCCCCTCCTGTGTGGTTGCGAGGGCTGGGCAACGAGGCGCGTCCTAAACCCCTGAGCACCCTACGGGATTTCTTAGCCTGGACACTACTGACATGTTGGATCAAAAGATTCTTTCTCAGGTGGAGGGAGCTACCCTGAACACTGTAGGTTGTTTAGCAATACCCCCACCCTTTACCCTGTAGATGCCAATAGCCCACCCTGTTTAGATCATCGAAATGTTTCCAGTGGTTACCAGTGACCTCTGGGTGAACATCCCCAGCACTGAGACCAGTGCTGTAGATCAGCACTCCTCGGAGGGTGGTCTGCAATCTAGGTTATCTTCAAAGAGATGACTGCAGAAATTGAGTGTTTCAGAACTTAACACCGTGATGTTGTAACATCCCAGCAAGTGGAGACCAGTTCTAGGTATCTCTGACCTGGAACGCTTCGCAGGTGAAGGAAGCTGCAGGTCTGGACCATAAAGCATAAAAACTAGTCCTTTACCGTTGGTAGTACCAGAAACATGGCCCTAGACAATCCTGTGCAGTGGGTATTTTTACCTAATTTTACAGACAAGGAAACAGACACAGGTTGGATGACTTGTGTAAGCTTATGTAGCTTATAAACATACATGGAAACCCAAACCTGTGCCATGTTGCTAATCTTGACAATAGTAACAGTACTTATTATATGTCCAGCAGTTTGTTGAGCACTTTTTTATTTGGCCCTCAAACTTTTTAAGTGGGTGTCATTTGTCCCATTTGATGGATGCAGAAAATCATGCTCCCTTATGGGAACTGACCATAAGAATGGAGTGAAATAGTCTAATAGGTTCTGTCTGGAGCTGCCAGTCAGATAACTGATTACATGGAAAGTGCAGAGAGAGGTGGTGAGCAGGAGAATCAATCAAGCCCCAGACGGATCAGTAGCTGTCCCAATGGACATTGTATACCTCACAACACATGCTTTTAAGCTGTTTTTAATTTATTTTAAGTAGATTTCCATCCCCCATTCCAGTCCTCAGAATTTCTGCTTTGGGAGTTTAAATTTTTTAGATACCTTCTAAATTCAAGAAAATGGCTTAAGCAGAATAAGACGGTTTTGAATCTAATTACAGTCGGAATTTTAGGAACTTGGAATTCAAGACTTTTGAAAATTGGGGCAGGTGTTTAGGAAACAAGGGCTATTTGAGATATGACATTTAGCTCACATAAGATGTAGATTTTGTTTAATAAAGACATTAAAGTTACTTGTAACCTTTTGGAGTTACGGCACACTGTCTTTGTCATCTCTTCTACCCTTCTTCTCTCCCTCACTCACCTAAAAAGATGACCTTCCCATGCAATCATTGGGTTAAGTGTGGATGATGATGGGGCACTGGGGGAAATACTCTGAAATTACTGTTTCGAAGAAAACTGGTGAAATGTTGGTTTTCCAGAGGAACAGTAACTTGATTGGAAAACAACCATGGTTAGGCCCCAGCTGGAATTTGAGTTGGGCCCACTTACTTACAAGCACATATAAATATACTTGCTTATTAATGGTAATAGCATTTTGAATGCTTCCTAAGATCTCTGTTATGGAAACACGGTTGCACATCACTGCTGCTGTTGAGTAAACCCTCTGGCAGGTGACTGGTTAATATTTTAAAGCACAGGTCCTTATCATCCTGTAACAGCAAAGCTCAACTTGAGTAAATAATTGTAGATCCCACTTCTCACCTGAGCACCTTGAAAATTTTAGTTGTGAACTTTATTCTCAAAAACATAATAGGTTTGTGCAGTTGGTTAATTGCTTCTTTGGTGAGAAGATCCTGGTCAAGACAATATTAAGAGACTGAAATATTTTATTCTTTACTGAATTTCCAGGTCTTACTAGTGGCTTTCCAGACATAGTTGGGCTCCCTGCACCTGTTACCCATCTGTAGTCAGATGGTTCTCCACACAGAAGCAAGAGGGATCTTTTCCCCAGCAAAATCAGAGCATGTCTCCCTTTGCCTTCAGTCCTCCTGAAGCTCCTCTTTAAATTTTTTGGGGGAAGTCCTTATTTTCTTCATGGGCTCCAGGGCTCTATGTAAACTGGCTTCAGCCTTCCTGTCTGGCCTCTTTCCTTTCTCTCTTTACTCCTTCATATTTGTCTCCTTTTCTTCTGGCCCTTCTCTGATCCTTGGGAGGGCAATGCTCTCCCTGCAGAGCTGCACACAGCTGCTCCTTCCTGTTATCAGGGGCTCAGCTTGTGTGTCACCTTTGAGCTTCCTCCTGTACCCTACCTGCTGTTGCCCGCCATTCCATCACCTTCACAGCACGGTTTTCTTCACAGCTTATCAAGGTATATGAAAGGCTTTTACTTATGTCTCACGGCACAAGGGTTTATTCCCAGCTCTCTCCTCCTGGCACAGTGCCTGGCAGTAAGTGGCATTTGAAAAATCATAGTCAACAAATGCATGAATTGCAGAATCTATGTGCCCTTAGGAGTAACATATTTTCTCTTTGCAGTGTTGATGGGAACCATTTTCAGCATCCTGCTGGTGACCGTCATCCTTATGGCATTTTGTGTCTACAAGCCCATTCGGCGTCGATAACAGCCAAGAAGCAAGTTCCGCCACAAACTTTTGGGAACAGGATAAGTTGTGTTGCACATGAGCCAATGGAGAAGTTGGAATCAGAACTTTTCTATTTGGAAATGACCTTTGGTCATTTGGTAAAAGCTAAATGGTTTAGAAAAAAAAATCTACTACTGATTTTTTTTCCCCTAACATCCTAATGCAAGTAATTTGGCTGCTGAGCTGCTTCTTGATGTTTCTTTTTATGTCTGACTGTACTTGTAAAAGACCTGATGCTTCAAGGTTCAGGGCAAAGATGGAGTATTCGCAAGAAAGAAAACATGGTAACCCTGTACCCGTAAGAACCACACTGGAAAGGACTAACCATTAATGCTTGAGATAGTAGTAAGAGGAAGGCTTAACCTGTAGAGACACTGTGTGCACTAGAGCCATCTGCTCACAGCAGATTAAGAATCACAATTTTCATTATACTGAGTTGACTTAGAATGCCCTGGTTGCAAAGCAGTGTCCACTGTAGGGAACTTGAGCCTGTGACTCTCTACCTGCATCCAACTCTGTATGTGGATGTCCCCCAATGAATCAGGGTCGCATCAGGTAGGCCTATTACTGTATGCACCCTTGGCATAGAAAGCTCTGGGATTGGACTGGAAGTGTTTAGCTGGCCCCTCAGGAAAAGAACTCCATCCTGTTCAGACACAGTGATCCCTTTGTTTAGTACTTAAGTCTTTCCAGCCCTAAAACTTGTGTTAGCTTTTCAGATGGGGAACCGAGACTCAGCAGGAGGGTTACCCTGTTCAGCCCTGGGTATGGTGGAGCTCAACCAAGAAGTACATTTCCACTGTGGGCTGCTGTGTGTTTACATAAATTCAATCTCAGTTTTGAAAATGCTGAGATTAGTTAGTTTGCACTGCTGGTAAACTGGATTTTTTACCCCTGTTGAAATGATACTTCCACACTTATAGACTGGTTATTAGTATTTATTTTAAAGGTGCTAGATTTAATTTTGTTATGAAGTTGAAATGCTTATCTTGTGCTTTATTTAGCACAGCACTGATATTTTCTTTTTTCAACAACCTGCACTTAATGTGAAATAACTGATGAGGCATACTGTAACAATGTGACCTAAGGACTTTGTTTAACCTTGTAACATTGAGCCATTGAGATGTTCTTTGTTCTGTACTTTTGAGCAAACTGTCAATTAAAATGAAAGCCAAACCCTATGTGCTGTTTTACTCTTGGTAATTATTTCCCAAGTATTAAAGTGCAGTTAGGGGTGTGTGTGTGTGGGTGGGTGTGGGTGTGGGTGTGGGTGTGTATGTGTGAACCTGATTTCTTAAGGAAGCACTGTGAAGTAGAATTTTAAATTCATGTGAAACAACTTATTGCCACTAGACAAAGGTACTAATTTTAAAAAACTGAACCATGTACTTCAGGGTCAAGATTTAACAGTTCTCACCTTTTTGATTTTGATTTCTACTTTGACTGACTGTACAGGTACTTAGAAGGTATTTTTAATGTTCAAATGTATGCGTTTTACCGAGGATTTAAAATTCAAACTTTTTGACTTTGTGGTTAGAAAATGTGATCTGAATACTGCTAATTTCTTGGAAAAAAATTGATTTAGGTTTCTGATCTCCATGGTGACCTTAGGAAAATTAATTCTAATATTCTGTATCTGTTAGATCAAGTTTATTTACAGCCTTTTGCTTTATTTTATCTTAGTGGGGTTTTTCCCTTAATGTTTATTTATTTATTCATTATTTTTATGTGGTGCAGTATTGATGAAAATTCAAAGTCCAACCTTGACCTATGTCTAGAAATAGGTAGGCATGGGTTAAGATTGACGTCCAGTTGAGAAAAGTATAATACACGAATAGTACCCAAGAGTCCTCAGACCTCAATCAGCACTGAAAGGCTTCTGAATCTCAACTTTAAGAAGTTTAG